ATGCTTTTTCTGCATCTATTGATATGATCATATGATTTTTATTTTTCATTTTGTTAATGTGATGTATTACATTAATTGATTTGTGGATATTGAACCAACCTTGCATACCAGGAATGAATCCCACTTGATCGTGGTGTATGATCTTTTTAATGTGACACTGAATTCAGTTTGCTAGTATTTTGTTGAGGATTTTTGCATTTATGTTCATTAGGGATATCGGCCTATAGTTTTCTTTTTTTGTAATATCTTTGTCTGATTTTGGGATCAGAGTAATAGTGGCCTCGTAAAATGTGTTTGGGAGCTTTCTCTCCTTCTGTATTTTTTGGAATAGTTTGAGGAGAATAGGTATTCTTTTTTGAATGTTTTGTAAAATTTACCTGTGAAGCCATCTGGTCCAGGGCTTTTGTTTGTTGGAAGCTTGTTGATTATTGATTCAATTTCTTTGGTAGTAATCCATCCATTCAGAGTTTCTGTTTCTTCTTGGTTCAGACTTGGTAGATTGTATGCTTCTAGAAATTTACCCATTTTTTCCAGATTGTCGAATTTGTTGGCATATAGTTGCTCATAGTATTTTCTTAAAATTTCCTGTATTTCTGTGGCATTTGTTGTCACTTGTCCTCTTTCATTTCTGATTTTATTAATTTGGGTCGTCTCTCTCTTTTTCTTGGTGAATCGGCTAAGGATTTGTCGATTTTGTTTATCTTCTAAAAAAACCAGCTCTTGGTTTCATTGATCTTTTGTACTGTTTTTTTGGTCTCTATTTTGTTTATTTCCATTCTGGTCTTTATTTCCTTCCTTGTACTCCCTTTGAGCTTGTTTTGCTGTTCTTTTTCCAGTTTCCTTAGGTGTAAAAATAGTCTGTTGTTTCGAGATTTTTCTTGCTTCTTTAGATAGGCCTGCGCTGCTATGAACTTCCCTCGTAGGACTGCTTTCGCTGCGTCCCAGAGATTTTGGGTTGCTGTGTTTTCATTTTCGTTTGTCTCAAGGGAACTTTTGATTTCTTCCGTGACCTCATTTCTGACCTACTTGCTATTGAGTCGTATGTCATTTAGCCTTCATGTGTTTGTGTGCTCTCCAGGTTTCTTCTTATAGTTGATTTCTGGTTTCATAGCATTGTGTTTGGAGAAGACGCTTGATATGATTTCAGTCTTCTTACATTTATTGAGACTGATTTTGTGTCCTAACATGTGGTCTATCTTGGAAAATGTTCCATGTGTACTTGAGAAGAATGTATATTCTGTTGCTTTGGGGTGAAATGCTCTGAAAATATCGATTAAATCCAACTGGTCTAAAGTGTTATTTAAGGCCACTGTTTCCACATTGATTTTCTGTCTGGAGATCTGTCCATTGGTGAAAACTGGGTTTTGAAGTCCCCTACTACGATAGTGTTACTATTGATCTCCGACTTTATGTTGGTCATAAACTATTTAGGAGCTCCTGCGTTGGGTGCATAGATGTTTACTAAGTTATGTCCTTTTGTTGGATCAATCCCTTTATTATTATGTAGTGTCTTTCTTTGTCTTTTATTGTAGTCTTCATTTTAAAGTCTATTTTGTCTGAAATAAGTATTGCTACTCCCGCTTTTTCTCATTTCCAGTTGCATGAAATATCTTATTCCATCCCTTTACTTTCAGTCTGTGTGTGTCTTTTGATCTGAGATGAGTCTCTTGTAAACAGCATATGCATG